AGCAGTTCTGGGGTCTGGTCAACAACGCCGGCTGGGCCACCTACGGCGAGCTCGAGTGGGTTGCCATGGATACATTTCGACGCATTACCGACATCAACGTCTTCGGGCTTCTCGCTGTGACAAAGGCCTTTCTTCCGATGATCAGGAGGTCTAAAGGTAAGGTTGAGTTGTCGGAATGAGAGAGAGAGGGAGAGGGAGAGGGAGAGGGGGAGAGGGAGAGAGGGAGAGAGGAGAGGAGAGGGAGGGAGAGGGAGAGGGAGAGGGAGAGGGGGAGAGGGAGGGTGAGGGAGAGGGAGAGGGAGAGGAGAGGGAGAGGGAGGGAGAGGGAAGAGGGAGGAGAGGAGAGAGAGAGAGAGAGAGAGAGAGAGAGAGAGAGAGAGAGAGAGAGAGAGAGAGAGAGAGAGAGAGAGAGAGAGAGAGAGAGAGAGAGAAGAGAGAGAGAGAGAGAGAGAAAGGTGTTTGTATGAGAGAAAGAGAGACTTCTCTTTCATTTTTTAATTTGTTTTCAGTTAGTGTTTATTATGGTTTATTTTCTCTTTCTGATTAATTTCCAGAAAGAGAAAATTATTGATTATTGTGGTTCGAATATGTTTTTTTTCATATGATACGATGTTCTCTGGAATATAATTTACTGTACATTGAGGTCCTGAACGAGTGTTGGCTATGGATATATGATCTGAATATTTATGGTCTCGTATATGATGATATCTAGAGCATACACAAAAAACAGGAATGTATATGTACTAAACACGGTGTACATGGACTCACACGAAGTCTCACAATCATCTTGTGTCCTATCCTTCTCATAATCACTTACAATATCACGTTCACTACACGTTACGTCTAGATGTATCGTGTAAGTGAAATATTTTACGGCACCATAATTTTTTTCATGACACTTCAACTGCCCCGTAAAATTATTCTCTCCCATTCTCTCTTTCTCACTTTCGTTTTCATGCTGTTGTTCTTGGACATCCTGTCTGTATACATGCACTTATTTCCCTCAGATTTGACGTAGTTCAGATGGAGTGGTTTAGTCAGCATGTAATATGAAATACCCTTTTTTCTCTTTTTTTCTTTATCTCTTCTCTCTCTCTCTCTCTCTCTCTCTCTCTCTCTCTCTCTCTCTCTCTCTCTCTCTCTCTCTCTCTCTCTCTCTCTCTCTCTTCTCTCTCTCTCTCTCTCTCTCTCTCTCTCTCTCTCTCTCTCTCTCTCTCTCTCTCTCTCTCTCTCTTCTCTCTCTCTTTCTCTCTCTCTCTCTCTCTCTCTCTCTCTCTCTCTCTGTCTTTCTTTTTTCTTTTGTGTTTCCCACGATACCTTTTCACATTAATGATCTGTCTTCCAGGGCGAACTATGCATCTTCGTGTGTGGTTCAGTGGATGCGTCTGTGGTCTACTTGTTTTGACGTTAATGTTTATTTAATGGGTGTAAATAGCCATTTTATTATTACCTAGTAATGTTCATCATTTTGAGAATTCTCATGGGATTTTTTTTTTTTTATTGGAATCGCAAACACCGTTTTAACTCACGAATAAACCTGGTAGCAAGTCGTTAAATTAGATGAAAGAACACAAGGCAAAAAGAAGAAGAAAAACACTAAAATATTTCTTAAACATGACACGACTCTCTGTACCCCCACCCCCCTTCCCCCACACATCTCCAGAGCTAAACCCCCTCCCTCCCCCCCCCCCCCCCCCCCCCCCACCTACATGCCCCACTCGCTCTCGAGAATTTTCACATGACTTTAGCCTTCCAAATCTCCAGATCTATATCGAGACATGACGGGCCTTAATCCAAGTCATTTTAAAATTACCCCCCCCCCCCGCAAAAGAAAGAAAGAAAGAAAAAAAAAAAACAAACAGACAATCAAGTCATTTTAAGATTACCCCCCCCCCGCAAAAGAAAGAAAGAATGAAAAAAAAAAAAAAAACACAGGCAAACAAGGGCTTGGTTGTGTTTTATGAGGGTATTGTCCTAACTGAACACTCGGGTCAGATGCACGTTAGATACACGTTCGGGAGAGGGGTGGGTGGGGTGGGGTGGGGGAGGGGGGCGTGTCTGGCTGTATCATTATGAGTAAAAATGGTAATATAATCATTGTTTTCATTATCTATTTTCATTTTCATGTTTTTTTTTTTAATTCTTTGTTATCAATACTGTTATAATTATTATTGTTATTATCTTTATTATCGTCATCATTATTATTATTATTGGTATTATCGTTATCATTATCATCTTCATCTTCATCTTTATCTTCTTCTTTCATCTTCATCTTCATCTTCATCTTCATCTTCATCTTCATCATCATCATCATCATCATCATCACCATCATCGTTATCATTATATTTATCATCATCATGATTAATATTAATTATCACATTATCATTATCATTAAATTTGATATTATTATTACTATTATGGTTATTATTATGATTATTATCATCATTATCATCATCATTATTTTTATTATACTTATTTTATTTTCATCACCATCATCATCATCACCACCACCAAACAGAATCGACATCATCACCATCTCCAGTCATCATCTCCACCATATTTCCGCAAAAGTTCACTCACCGACACCGCCTGCATGACTCGGCCTCTCGCAAGCCCCGCCGACTGAAATGCATGACCTGTTGGCCAAGGAGGAGCATGCATGACGATCCTGGCATATTGGCATACTTTCCAGGCGGTGTTTCCATTGCGCATCTTCATAGCTTTTTTTTTTTTTTTTTTTTTTTTTTTTTTTTGAAATTTATAACCCGTTTGAGGATTTGTGTTTTTCTTGCTTTCTGTTTTCTCTCTCTTCACGCTCTCACTTCTTTATATACTTCCTCGTCTACTTTCTTCTCTGTTCTCCTCTCTCTCTATCCCCTTCTCCCTCCTCCATTCTCCTCCCCTTCCGCCACTGTCATGTCATTTTTCCTTCTCTCCAATATTATTTCTCATTTTCTTCTATTTTTTTTTCTCTCTTTTCCCTTCTTTCTCCCTTTTCCCTCTTTTCTTATTTCCATCTCCTTTTCCCACTGTTATTCTTTCTATCTCTTTTTCCCTCATTTCTTCTATCCACACTTTTCCTCTCTTTTATACAGTTCCTCTTTTATTCACCCTCCTTCATACCCCTTGTTCATTTCCTCGTATTTCCTCCACTTCACTCGCCCTCCACCACTTTCTTTCTTTTCTCCATATTCCTTCTTTCTCCTCCTTCATTCTTATCCTCTTTCCAACCTTCTTCTCTTCTTTCTTCTTCCCCCTTCTTCACTTCTTTCTCCATTCCGCCCTTCTTCCCATACTCTTTATTTATTTATTTATGATCTTCTTTTGTTTTTCAAGCAATCATTTCTTTTTCCAAGCGATTTTCTGCTTGAACATCTCAAAACCTAGAATTATCTTTTTTTTCTTTTGTTTATTGCATGGCTCCAAGCACGAGTTCTTTCAAACCTGGGAAACAAGAAGGAGGAGTTTTGATTCTCTCTTTTCTCTCTCTTTCTCTCTCTTCTCTCTTTCTCTTTTCTCTCTTTCCTCTCTCTCCCTCTTTCTCCTCTCTCTCTCTCTCTCTCTCTTACTCTCTCTCTCTCTCTCTCTTACTCTCTCTCTCTCTCTCTCTCTCTCTCTCTCTCTCTCTCTCTCTCTCTCTCTCTCTCTCTCTCTCTCTCTCTCTCTCTCTCTCTCTCTCTCTCTCTCTCTCTTTTTTTATTCACTGTAACTTGTCATTGAATATAAGGAAGTGACGTCATGCAGCTTGGAATATCGAGACTAATGCTAAATAAATTAATAGTAATAATGGTGATATAGACTTAATCTGATGATCTGATAATTTGATATTGATAATGATAGTAATAATGGTGATAAAGGTATTGATAATGATGATGATGAAGTATTTCTTTCTCTTTCCTCATCACACACTCCATCTCCCTCCCCCTCCTTTCCCTCCCTCCTCCTCCTCTCCCTCCCCCTCCTCTCCTTCTCCATCGCCTCTCCCTCTCCCTCCCCTTCCTCCTCCCCCTCCCCCTCCTCTCCTTCTCCATTGCCTCTCCCTCCTCCTCTCCCCTCCTCCTCTCCCTCCTCCTCCCCTTCTCCATCTCCCTACCACTCCTCTCCCTCTCCCCCTTCGCTATCTCCCATTTCCCCCTCCCTTCCACGCTCCTTCGTCTCTCCACTTCTATTCACTCTCCCTCATTCCCTCCGTTCTTTCCCTCCTACCTCCTCCATCCCCCTCTCCCCTCTAACTCTTTATTTAATTTGATTAAGAGAAAAGGGGAAGAGGGGTAGAGGGGAGAGGAAGGAGAGGGGGATAGGGGAGGAAGAAAAGGAAGAAAATAAGATAATGGTGATAAAGATAACGATGATGATGATCGTGAAGTTGATATTTATTATGATAATGATAATCGCCAATGAAAACAAACCAATAATCACAAGACCCAGCTATGGCGCACCTTTATAAATCCCGTTTTCTTTTTTGTAAATCCCGTTTTCTTTTTCGTAAATCCCGTTTTCTTTTTTTGTATAGCACGTTTTCTTTTTGTAAATCCAGTTTTATTTTGTAAATCCCATTTTCTTTTGTGAATCCCGTTTTCTGTTTTGTAAATCACGTTTTCTTTTTTGTAAATCCCTTTTTATTTTTGTAAATCCCGTTTTATTTTGTAAATCCCATTTTCTTTTGTGAATCCCGTTTTCTTTTTTGTAAATCCCGTTTTCTTTTTTGTAAATCACGTTTTATTTTTGTAAATCCCGTTTTATTTTGTAAATCCCGTTTTCTTTTTGTAAATCCACTTTTCTTTTTGTAAATCCCGTTTTTTGTAAATCCCGTTTTCTTTTTTGTAAATCACGTTTTCTTTTTTGTAAATCCCGTTTTCTTTTTGAAAATCCCGTTTTCTTTTTTAAATCCCGTTTTCTTTGTAAATCCCGTTTTCTTTTGTAAATCCCGTTTTCTTTTGTAAATCCCGTGTTCTCTTTTTTGTAAATCCCGTGTTTCTTTTTTTAAATCCCGTTTTCTTTTTGTAAATCCCGTTTTTTTGTAATCCCGTTTCCTTTTTTGTAAATTCCGTTTTTTTTGTAAATCTCTATTTCTTTTGCAAATCCCGTTTTCCTTTTTATAAATCACGTTTTCCCTTTGTAAATCCCATTTTCTTGTTTTTTATAAATCCCGTTTTCTTTTGTAAATAACGTTTTCTTT